ACTTAGGATTCGATCGGGCCTGGTAGTCGATCCCCCTCGCTTCAGTGTGAGTCTCACACTATGAGATTAGTTTAGTCCATTTTGCCATAGTCTGGTCGCTAGCGGGACATGTGTGACAGCTCGTTTATAACGAATCATAGTTCGAGTAAATGCAGTCGTCATCATCGTCTTCTTCGGGCAACGAAATACCTATCATCTCTGAAACGGCTGCGGATTTCGCGGCCAGAGCCATGCTGCTGGAGCTGCAAGATGAAGAAGTCCGTACCACTCAAAAGCTTACTAATCAGCCTAACCTACTAATCAGCGAAATTCCGATTCAGAATAGTGCCAGAACTAAATTTTAGTTCTGGCACTATTCTGAATCAGAATCTCTGAGAATCATATTCGGATTCGGATCCGGGGTTTCATCACTCTGAACTTCAGGCAACTCGAAAAAGCATGGCGCTTTCTCTCCAAGGAATCTGACAGTGATCAGCCGGAGATAAAGGATGCCAAAGATATAATGCGAGAAGCATTCCGTCAAAAACACGTTGACGAAAATATCGGTACTGTGGACATAGAAATCGGTACTGGATCCCGGCAGTGAATGGAGTCCTACCGATATACAGTTAGTCTAGCTCTGTTATCACGCTCAACGTGATCCTAATGCTCAACTTGGGCACTACTCCTAGTACTACTGGCAGAACCCAACCTTTCTCCTGGCAAGGCTGGAATTGCCATATCCTGGCTCTGCTCCGAGCAATACATTTGATACTAGCGCCAAGACGGTGACTGAAGATGATGCTCCGAGCCTAGATAGTCCAGTAGCGGAATCCAGAACGTGATCCCCGAAGGATTCAAGCATCGAGTTCGCTGCGAGTCGAGCCTACTGTAAATGTTTTGCAGCTCCTGTTGGAAGGCCACGGGGTCACTAGATGATTTTATTTTTAGGTCTAAATCATTTCTAGTGACGGTAGATTATACTAGTATTGCGATTCACATTATGCGAGGCTAACGGCTAGATAGTCTATTAGAATGGCAACTCACTGGTAGTGAGTCACTGTCTAAGTTGGTAACTTGAACTTCAAAAAATGCGGGTCTCGCATTCTTTGCGCAAGCGGAGGAAAGTTTACTTAGGGAATTCCTTGGTCAGAAGCTACCCATTGGGTAGTACCCGATAGCTAGAAACCCAATAGCGGGAAGAAGAAAAGCACGGCGTTGAGCGAGTATCGGCATCACCAATGCACCTCCCACATCTTGCATATTGTTGTGTAACACAGCTTGTGTTTGAGTTCGCACAGAAGGAGAAACTTCTGTGCCCTTACTCGCCGTGTCGTATGCTGGAGGTAAGGTTTCAGAAGTATTTTCTAAGGTCATGCTACCCTCGCAGGATAATAAACTACGATGTCTCGAACATCGAATCGACTAGTACGCGCATATCGCTGACAATACAACGTCCGGCAAATCTATCAACTGAGAAAGCTATTTCTGGAAAGCTTCGAAGTCTATCCTTGGATCTTAAATAAGTCGACACACATCGGCTTATATCCGACACCTCGTTTATAGGCGACTTGCTGACGCCCAGGAAATGCACCAAAGCGTTCCAGCAGACCATAGTCTCATATATGGTAAGAACAAATCTCCCATCATGAGAGTCCTTCTTCGTTATCATACCATGGTCGCGCCAGAGTTCAAACAAGTATTCCATTCGACCATTCCTGTTCCTCGATGTACCGGCCTCTACATACGAAAACTTTTTGCGTTCATCCAGGAGGAGCTCCGTGTCGAACCATCAATACAACGGCTACTGCAGCATTCATGACGCCGCACGCTCT